GTAACAAATAGGGTGAAAATATATACTAGGCATCAACATTTAACTTTGAAAAAAAAAAGGTGTTTTAATAAAAGCATCTACTTGTGGATCAATGATAAGTTTACAAACTTACAATGATAAAAAGTCCAGGGTTTGATTCTCCCAAGTGAGCATAATGTAGATAGCCCATTGTGTATATATACAATAAGAAAACAACAACCCCAATAAAAAGAAAAACAAAGAGGTTGTTGAATAGGCTTGATGAGTTTAGTTAAACTATGAATTTGATTAAATAACTTACAGCTTGAGAAGCTTAAGAATTGCGAAGGGTTTTTATGTTTTTCCTTTAACTTATAAAAAAGTTTACCATAACTAAAACATGTTGGTTGTTTTAAACATTATAGACAAATAGAACTGACTAATAAACTTGCAAACTGAAGTATACATATAAATTACTTGCCCAGTAGTTTGAGTTGGATGATGCTTTGGATCAGTGTAGAATGATAATGTATAAAGTTTGTCTAAAAACTAACATTTCCAGTAAGTGTTTGTATGTTATTCACTGAAAAAACCTGTTACTGGTTGACTATTGATTCTTATTGGTAGAGGATCCTGTTTTTGTTTTTTTTATCTATAAATGTAATCCAGATATTATTAATTTCTGTTCTTTGATTTTAGTTCAGTGCTGGCTTGTGTTTTATAATGTATATAGCTTCTTTTAATTTTTGTTTCTTAATCTAACTTAAACTAGCCTGCAAGTTGTCCCTGTAACTTCATTTTCTGAATTCTTTACTACATACTTATCATGATAAATTCTTGAGGAAACTGGAAAATGTCTTATCAATATACAGTAACAGAAAAAATGTTCTAGTATTTATAAAATTTTAATACTTTGGACGTATTAATGAAAGCTGCTGGTTATCAGAATATCTAACATTTCTAATTTTACTACCTAGTCTCCCAGTGGGTTAGTGGTAATTTTGTTTGACTTTTGCATTAGACAGAGTGTGAATAACCCATTGTGTAGCTCTGTACTAAGACAGCAACAGCAGTAGGCTACTCAAGTAGGAGTAGTATGAAGTACGTAAAATATGAGCTGTTAAATAAATGTATATGAAAAGGAATATAAAGGCTTTTAAAGAAATATTAATAATTTTAAGTCAGAAGTGTATAGATACAGAATTGAACAAATTTAACAAAAATAAAAAATTATCAATTCACATTTTGGTGTAAAGTCCTTTCTCTCCATCAGATACGTGCCTCGGTGAATAACTGATTTTTGACACATTTGTCTGGGTGTTTTATGCTACATCTTCCTTGAGTAAAACTGCTGTTTTTATTCTTTTGATAGAGTAATTTACCTTGTTATTTAACACGTGCATAGATAACTTCAACATTAATTCTCTCTAGTTTTCATAAAACTATTTGTATTTACATTGTAGCTTCTAGTACAATAATCTGTGTGCTGGAAAGATTTATGCAATTTCTTTTTCTATGAATAAAGACTGAACTTTTGAAAATATTTATTTCAGCAAATGATTCAAAGTGACCCAGAGTTGAGACCCTCAGCAGCTGCATTAATTCAACACCCTGTTGTAGTATCTTATGCTAACAAAACAAAATCTCAGCTCAGAAAAGAGCTTAATGCAGAAAAGTTTAAAAATGAGCTTCTTTCTAGGTAAGTGTTTTTTATGATAAATGTATGAATGAACTGTCTTTCTTTCCCTGAAAAACTAGTAGTTATACAATCAGAAAGGGACTTGGTTAGTCTTTACTAATAAGAATAAAATAGCAAAGAATGAACAAAAATTTGATTTAACAAAACCATTCATTAAATATAAATAATTTAAGTGAACAAAATATTATCAGTATATGATGATCTTCTAATCCTTACTTATGCCAACTTTATAATTGAGTGTGATCTAAATGAAAAATACATGCCACGAAAGACAATAAAATTGTATATCTATAGTTTGTTGTAACATTGGTTTTATACATGTATTAGATATCAATCAATGACTTGGTTATCAGTTTATGAAACGATATGAATTTCATTTTCATCACAGTATATTATAAGCCCATAAATAATACATATGGATATTAATTATTCTAGTTTGAGAGATTGTGTAATTGATTTTTTCATTGATTATTAATAAAAATTTCTTATAAGGTATGGAGTAATGCTAGTATAATTTTTGAGATTATTGAAATGGTACAGGTTTATAAATTTCTATTTATGGTAACAGCTGTTTATCACCAGTGGTTTTAAGCTGAAAACTTAAGAGAATGAATTGTTTCTTCCAGGCAACTGCAAGAAGCTGCAAGATGCCTACAAGGGGTCCCAGTGAAACCATCAATTAGTGAGAACAGACTTAACAGGGTTGTCAAAAAGAAACTTACCCGAAGCATGAGTACGACTAACTTCTAATGATGTTCTGAGTATTATTTCCTGAAGTTAACACCAAAGACGTAGTGCTGTTTTCCTTCTTTGTATAAAAGTAAAAAGTAGAAAAAGCTGAAAATGGGGTGTACCCATATACAGTGAATATATTTTTTGGTATTATCACCAACACAAGTTAATCAGTATTTAATTTAATTATCTTCAACTTCTCATTACGTTAAAATTTATTTTCTGTTGTGAGCTTTCAGCTTTCTAACCAAAACCTTCAATGTGGAACTGTGCACTGAACAAGGCTGATTTGTTCCTTCATGGAGTATTTGGAAAGACTGGTGACCAAATAAAATAATATAAAATATGTCATCTGTTGTTAAAAACATTAAATTCAAATTTAAATTAAGTAGTTTAATAAAACATTTAAAACAAATTATAGCAGACACACAATAAATATATTCTTTTTTGTAGTCATGGATCAATATAATCGCATTGAAATTATTTAATAATATAACTAATGTATAACAATTTATTTTTTTCCAACTCATAATTGTTTGACCATACCAGCGGACTAAATATGGGGTTAATCTAGGCTAAGGACAACAGAATAGTCAAAAGTGTGTGCTTTTGAAGTAAAAACAAATCTGTAAATAACATGTAAAAACTGGTTAACTGATGTTTACTGGTCTGTTACATTTCCTTTAATGTATGTCATTTAATATAAAAACAAACTTGGATATTAAGATTTAAGTGCAGTGTACTTGTGTTTTGTTTTATTTTATTCTTATTTTATATAAACCAATCAAACAATGTTAAAATGATAGTATCCAATCACTTGGTATAACTATTGGTAAAAGTGAAATTTATACAGTATTTAAATGTTTTTAGTATAAACCTCCTAAAACTATATTTTCAGTTTTTGAAAAATCAGTCCATAGTTTTTTTCCAGAAAAAAAAAAGCAGTTTGATATTAAAAAGTATTTAACAAAATAGAAACATACATATCATATAGTATTAAATATTTAGTAATTTTACTTTAACAGAAAAGCTACATTATATTCATTTAATGTACTGTTTTATGGTTGATCGCTCTGGAGATATTGAATCATTATTTACCAATGGATGGACTTGATTTACTTGTTTATAATAATGAAAACTTAAACATATTGTCTAATGAAGTATGTAGAATGTTGTTAGGCTTAGCTACAAAAATTACAATTTGTGTTGAATCGAGAGATGTATGACCAGTTGCTATGGGAGTTAGATTAGCACTGGTCCTGGATAATCTGTTCCTATGTTATCATGAAAAATGTTTTATTGATAATTGTCCACAACTATTTAAACCCGTGTATCATAGAAGTTACACAGACCACACCTTTATTATCTTCAAACAGAAAAATATTTTGGATTATTTAAATATTAAACATATAATTAAAAGATTCACAGCACAACATCAATAAAAATACAAAATACCATTAAGTTGTAATAATTGAAAATAAACATGGGACTTTTAAATGTGAAATGTATCAAAACATTTCTTATAGGCCTATACTTCACCTATGCTAGCTCTATTTTGGATTTATATTATGTTTATTTTAATTAGGTTTTTAGTCCATAGAGCCTACAAGAAAAATAATACCTTTACTGGTTTAGTGAAACAACTTAATAACATTAAAAAGTTTCTAATAAGAATGAAATTCTAGGTGTTTATTTCTTAACCATATTTAGAAGCAAGCTTTCAAAAACTACATCAAATATTTATATCCACTAGTTTATTTAAAGTTTATTTAGCTTAACCTCTGATATGTAGGATTGGAGATTTAGTATGAAAGATAAAATATTAAAATTACAGAAATACAAGATTTTTCTAAATGTAATCTTAGATAAAACTCTAGTATTCAGAATTAAGGAACACATTCAAAGCTACATTTATATTACAAATTTCCAGCGATTGCTACTAGTTGGGTGGGTTTTATAATGTGGACCTTACAACAATCTAAATTTTATTGTACATGTACCACACAATATGTGTGATATAATCACAATGAAACCAATGATCTCTCCTTCAATATTTTTATTGTGTTACTTATTATTTGACCATATGGTTACGTATATGACTATATATATATATATAACACTGTGAAAATAAGGTAATGAAATTATGATCTCACGTAAAATTCAGTAATAAGAATTTTTTCTTGTTGTGGTGGAAAGTAATATTGTGTAACAGATCCATAGTGTACAGAAAAATAGTTCTAGACAATGAAGAAAATGTGTATATAACTTTTATTTCATCATTGTAACCATGCAATTATCTATGTGGAGAAGTAAACAACATTAAATGCCTTGTGAATATGTAATGTTAGTATAATGAATTAGTTACACAGCTGGACCAAATACATATCACTACTGGCCCAACAGACATCATCATACTGTACAAGTTATGAAACAAAATCCTGGTTTTCTTAAATAAAAAGCTACACTACAAAACCATCAATAACATGATAAAAATATTCTTTCCAAATAAAAGCCTAAAAAATTAATTTGACAATTTGTTACCAGTGTATTTAGAAAACTAATGTAAGTGCTTTTCTTCAGTCATTGGTATAAAAACAATTACAGTCACATACCACTACATCAAGTCACCTAATCTGATTAATTGCACTTGTAACATGCCACAGGTAAGAGGAAGTAAATTTTACTAACACAATATTTCTCCACATATCAGTGATGTTGCATTTACTTACTAAATTTTCAATTTAAAAGTGACTTTGTTTCACAAAACACTCATTATGTCATTAATTGCTCAGGAAGCACAATATTTCACTAAATTTCCAACTTTATAGATCTATAATCATAAGACAGCAGACTTGGAATCACAAGTATTTCCAACACTTTCCATGTAGATATCAGTGTGAAGATTAACTAACTAATAACTGTAAACTTTACATTGATACAAATTACATTTATAAAAACAAAACATATACTATGAAATAATTCCATTACAGTAATTATGATTTTGTTTCTGTATCGTAAAAGTTTATCTCAATCAATTTAGTTGATAACATTTTTTAATGAACAGTATGAAACACTAAAACTAGAACCATGTATTTCACTAATGGACTTTATATTCTAGGACTTATTGTTATTTTACCTTGCAGTATACAAGTTTATTGTTTCATTTTGAAATTATAAAAAAAAATAGTTCAAATTTTTCTAAAATTACACATGACGTTTAACTATACATATATCTATACTTTATAACTAAATATGAAATCAGATTACACACAAAAGCGACACCAATTTTTGTATACTATACTGATGCTACTGCACAGGTCCTAAAATATGTATTAAAATACACCTTATAAATAACTATTAACAATTAGCAGCAATCTTTATCTTTTGTAGACTATTTATATAACAGTTTAATTTCAGTGATGTTATTATAATTTATACAGGGGATGGAAGAGAAAAAACAATACTTTAAAAATACTCTCTTTTCTTCTGTACACATGGAATTTGACGTAGTTTGTTTTTGCATATACTTCCAATCATGATACACAAGAACATTTTTCAAGTGAATGATAAAATGGTTTACAATTTTATTTCATGCAAATATGTCGCTTAAAGAAACATTTACACTTGCTACTTATCTTACTTTTGAATATCTTAAAAATACATCATTTTTGCTTGGAACTAGTATTAATATTTCCTACTTATTTACATTATATAATATAGTACACTGGTGAAAGAAAGCTACAATTAAATAACATTACTTGGAGGTTTCAGTGATAGGTAAGGAGAAAGAAGAATTTCTACAATCTCTTCAATTGAAATGGGATATGTATGGTAAGCATTAGCTGAAGCTTGGTATGGTAAAAATGTTAAAAGAAGGCTGAGGAATCCTGCAATTATTAATATCACACTTATTCCAAAGCGAAACCTTTCACATATAGTGGCACTATCTTTGTTTACCAATTTGTTGTAGATTCCTCGTAAATAGGATGTATTACCACCACTGAAAAAAAAAAGATTTTACATTAAATAATTTCTTCTTTACTTAAATGTAGTTATATAAAATTGTATAAAAGCATAATACTTTAAAAATTCAAAATGTATTATTTTTTTTACTGTTTAGAAAGTTTCGCTTCACAAAAGTGTGCACCTGTTGTAATGTGAAACTCGGTGATCTGGCCAAACTGAAGAGTGCATACTACGCTAGTATTCAAGTTCATAAAATTATGAAATACAGTTTTGTTTTGAACATATCATAATTTGTCACAAGTAGGAACTACAGAAGTAAATAGGTGTTATTTCTCTTGTTCAAAATTGTTTTTATTTCAGACCTAATTTATTGAACAGATGCAATTTTTGTTACATATTTAATCATGACTAGATAAAAATTATATATTGACCAAAAAAACATAAGTTAATTGTCTTTAATTATGTTTCAATAAATTGTTCCTCCACATAAGAAAGAACTATGATGCTTATTGATGAGTAAAAATTACTTTATACTTAATTGACTTATCATTTTGAATGAGGAGAACATGAAGAATTAAATTTATTATTAAATGGCAAATTTACTTGTTAGTTATGTTTTTATTAAAATAGTACTCATTTTGAAGATTCTTTGAATTATTTAGTCTATTTTTCAGTATGTTAAGCTATTTTTTATTATTATATAGAGCTTCAATGTAATTCAACACTAGCCACAAGTAGAAAAAAATGTTATTAACAGAGAATTTTAAGTGAAAAGGTGGTGGCATAATTTAAGTCACTGTAATTAATCTTTTAATATACAAGACACTCACTTGCTTTACTTCATTTAATTAGTATTTCAAATGATGATTGAGCAAAAATGTCGAACTTGGAAAAAGTTAATAAAGAACATAATAACAGGGTTTTTTTCAGTCTTTACTGCTAATCTGACATGGAAACTAAAGACAAGCTTGTCTAATGTGAATTTCTTAGTTTCATATATATTGCAAAAACATCAGAAGTTCTAAAAACATTTAAGATACATAATTTTAAAGATATAATATTTCATGGATGATCGTAGCAGGTTGGTTTGATGTTTTTATGCATGAGTTAAAATGTAAAGATTGGCTCCAGTATTATTACTGTGGGTTAGGAAATAATGGTTAGTTGCAAATACTAGCAGTAGATACAAGCAAAGCAAATGAAATTCTTTATCATTTAGTGGTAAAAAAACAATGTCCAGTTCAAAATTCTGTTACTATGAGCTTCTAATGCAACAGAATTGTTAACTTTTAAATGCACAGGTACATTGATCTGACATGCTTGTTGTACAGTTTGTTTTATTGAATTCGTAAAATTTCTACAGATTATGTAACTTCTGCAAAATTAAATATTTTCATATATGATATATGTATGAACTTACAGCTTTGAAAATTCAAAACGATTTCATTGTCATATGTTTTTTTAAAGAAATAATAAAAATCAATTGCTGATTTTCCAGTAAAGTTTTTATTTTATAAAACATAAAGGTCTGTAAAATGACTTGAAAAACACGGCACTCAAATTCAGTGTTTACGATCAGTGACTTACAATAAATAACAACTATTTACCATATCATAATTATAAGCAAGCCAAATGTTTTGAAATTGTGAATCAAATGTTTCATTTGATAAAGGTAATTTATTTACACATTTCTACGTTTCTTTTAGGTGATTTTATTTGCTCATTCAAGCAGTTATATAGGCTGATGAGGCCTAATGAACAGCAGCTTCATCAATATAATAAAACTAGATACAGTTGAGTGTACAATGGCCTAACTAAGTTAACAATTCTCAACCACACCTTGACAAAAACATTTCCTACATCCTGCAACATCATTATTCACATGAAGTATAAAATGACAAAGCAAACTTTAAAAAACAACAGAAGTGTAATTATGGTAGCAGTTGATCACAAACATATTTACTTCTAACAATATACTACTAAGCTAAGCTTTTACCACTTTGTTCTAATCTCTACGTGAAACTCAACTCAGCTGGAAGCAATAATGACTTATAGTTTGTTTGTTTTTGAATTTTGCGCAAAGCTACGCGAAGGCTATCTGCGCTAGCCATCCCTAATTTAGCAGTGTAAGACTAGGGGGGAAGGTAGCTAGTCATCACCACCCACCGCCAACTCTTGGGCTACTCTTTTACCAACGAATAGTAGGATTGACCGTCACATTATAATGCCCCCACGGCTGAAAGGGCGAGCATGTTTGGTGTGACAGGGATTCGAACCCGCGACCCTCGAATTGCAAGTCGAGCGCCCTAACCACCTGGCCAGGCCGGGCCTAATGACTTATAGATTTAAAAAAAACTATTAGTACATGCTTGGAACACTAGCCTATGAATTCTCTAAGCTGAGGCATAGAAAATTACATCACATCATGACAACTAATACTGAGAAATAGTAACTGGCTAAAATTGGCACTATTTTGTTCAAAAATATTTTGGCTTTTTTCCTAGGGTGCTGCGAGTGCCATATTATGCCCAGAAAAAAAAAATCATGAAATTCCCAAACACTAACGTTTTTGTTCAGAGCTCGCTGAAATCAACCATAAACTTGCTAAAAATGTTTTCAGTTTTTATGTATAAAATTGAATCAATAAACCTTTTTTATTGAATAAATTTCAGCTCTGAAGTATTCAACAAAAATGTGTGGAAGAGTGACTACAGTGCAGAAGGATCAACTATCTAATGTAGTTAAGCGTGTACTGGAATAATGATAAAAAGATAGGTTCTAAATAACAGCTGACTAGGGCAACATTTTAATATCATCAGTATTTGGAAATTGGGCAAAGGACTGTAAAAAGTACAGTTAAGAGTAACTTATTTTGTGGACTATGTATGATTAAAAATAGTGTCACTGTGTGCAATGTGAAAGAGTTATTTATTTTTGATTATTTGTTCAAAGATGTTCAAGGCACACACACATGAGCTCTTTTAATCAAATAGTCAGATTTAACCTACATATTTATAATGCACTCACAGCCCCAATGACCAGAGTGATATTTTATTTTTTGTGGTAATGGGATGGGAAATATGGATGATTAGATTTGCAGTCTAGCCTGCTTACCATTAGGCCACACAATGAGTCTATTTTTCAGTTACTAGTGTTTTGTAACTTTAAAGAAATAATAAAATATTGTAAAAATTGCAATTATTTTCTACAATGTTTAGTGTTAACAATTTGTCTACACAAATCAAACATTTACTCTTTGAATTGAGGATAGCAATATGGTGAAAATATATATTTTGCATTAACCATTATGACAGTAAAATGATGAAGATGAAAATAAAACATTTTATTTACAAGGTTCAAACATTTCGGAATAACTTATTCCATCTTCAGCAAAATCTGAAAACTGTGTTACAAAGAGGATTATTACGAAAATTATAATATAATAATATAATCATTAGTTTACTTAGTTATTAAAAAAAAGCAGTAAATGGATGGATGAGTTAAGTGTGAAAATTTAGAACAATTTTAGATCTAAAGAGCTTTGCAAGATCTAAAATTCTAAATTATTTCGTCTTAAATATGAAATTGTAAGTTATAAATTTTAGGCCAAAATGTACAAAATTGTATTTCTAAGTCTACAGGATGTGAATGATTTTCAGTGTATGTAGATTTGAATGAGAATATCTGGAAACTGTTGTATATGTCACATTAATGTGTAATTTAAGATGTTATAATTTGTTCTTAACTTTTTGCTGCCAGAAAAGCATATTTCATTTACTTCATGGTTAAAATATTTTACACAGATAGCCACTCTACTTCAAAAGTAATATATGGGTTAAGAATTATATATCTAGCTATTTCATGAGACAATTACAACATTTGACTAAAGTAATTTTTACATACATTGTCCTGTTTTTAACAGCCCGGTGTTCTGTTATTACTTTTTTGTTAACGTTATCGATGGCTTCTGGATCTTTGTAAAGTTGACTGAAAGAAAATAATATTGTCAATTTCATTCATCACCCTCACATATATCTGAAACAAATTATGCTTTATCTTCCATTTACTTATACCAATAAATCAATAACCACACCAGTGATATTTTGGTTTCAAAAAATAATTTTATTTTGTCTTGCTTGTTAACAGTAGTTTTAGTTTTGGCATTATACTTTTAGTGTTAATATGGTTTTACTTATTTAATAGTTTCTGTTTTAGTTTTGATTATTTGATGTTAATTTTAGTTTCCATTCCTTTAAATTAAAATCACTTGTTTATAGAGTAATTATTTTAAATGTATAAATACTAGTAATTACTCTGACAATTTACATCTTGTGATGTGAACTATATATTCTTACAAAAAACAAATACTTATAAATGTACCAGTTAGCTATATTCAAGACCATAAACACAAAACTGATTACAGTGACTAGTGACCAGACAGCTGAGATAAATATTTAAACTTATACAACTTACAAAGCGATTTTGAAAAATAACTTATAGATATTAGTCTCCATTATGATTGTGAGTATGTGACAAAAAGGCTTACTCTGTGCTGGCAGTTATGCCTAGTAATAAACTGGATAACATTCACAGACTGACCCTTATTGCTCTTTCCAATACCATAAGATAATTTAAAACACTTGCCTTTGAGAGAAAATTAGTTGAAAGTTGAAACCTTTTTAAGTTAACAAATTCTTACCTACTATTGGCCACCAGAGTCTCATTTGATATTAACAAACTTAAACAAGAACTTTCTCTGAAGAGAATTTGCACAGTACTGGGCATAATATGGCATTATTAAATATCAAGGATGAAGTCAGTAAAATTTCAAAAATATGACATTAAATACTAATTTTTCATAATAAGACAAGTAAGTCTATCATGTCAGCATCACTCTTAAGTTTTTGTTTTCCTTAAAAAAACTTTAAGATAGCTCTTTCGAAAGTTGTTGATTGAGTTTAAGCCAGACCGGTTGAAAAAATACCACAAACAGAAAAAAATTTCTTCAACATATGCTTGAGAAGCTGGTGAACTCAGTATGTCCTCAGCCACTGGTGCAAGGAGTGGTACAGATGAGCTTCTTGAGGCCTAGTAATCTAAAGCATTTGAACAAAACTAATATCCACTAGCATTTTAAACATCAGTAATGTAGGACATTAGCTGGGAAAGCAAACAAGTCCACTATGTCATCTATCTTCCCAGTTTTGCTTGACCTACAATGTCACACTGAAAAGTTTATGAATAGCCACACCAATTGCCAAGCTCTTGGAAATTTTGCAAATGAGCAGTTCCACAAACAATTTGATTTTTTGATAGACCCTGAAAATGCCAATTTTATACCATTACTAGCAGCAGCCTATCTTATTGACCCCATGTTGGTAAATTCACTACAAATTCCAGACATGCAGCATCTTTTAAATGCTGCAAAAACATCTGTCATTGCATTTGCAGTGAAAAATGCTTCCACTGTCTTTCCTTCTCCATTGGCTTCAGTTTCTTCAGAAAGCATTAATGAACACATTGAACAGCCAAATTTTGAAGAACAAGAAGCAGTTTCAGTTACTGAGGAAGTTTAATTATTTGTCTGAAAACTGAAAAATTTTGGAAGCGACAGAAGTCAACCAGCAACTACCAGTTCCAAGGTGGAGCCCGTGAGTGGTCAAAGTTGAAAGATTTAAGAAGTTTGTTGCAGTCGCTTGCTTCCCACATGAGAGAATTGAATCTATTTTTATCTCTTCCAAAACCTTATTTATACTTGATTTAATTTCGAACATACATCTGACAATATAGTAGGTTCAATTCCATTAAGTGGAACAGTCTGTTACTACAGTCCTACACGCATGGGCAATGAGTTTTTTCATTCATGACAGATAATTTTTCTTTTATTTGTGCCACTAGTGATCTGGCGTTTTCTAAAACTTTCTGAAAAAAATGTTTTTAAGAATGTCCTAGATAAACATTAAATAGCTGAAAACTGTGTGCATTACAAGGCATACTAAACATGGATTGCCTTGTATAAGCATTACGGATAACCTGTTGTGAAACATGAACAGATATAGTAGTCTGTCCATCAGACTAATTGTGACCAGGAGTTTCACTGTTAGTAAGATCTTCATCATCTTATCTGGAGTCATTTGATTCAAAGTCTTACGCAGAAGTATTCTCTTCCATGTCTGGAACAGATCTTTCAATTGTGTGTGATGTATCTTTTGTTTCACTTTCCTCTGAATTACCACAGTTTTGAAGCATTAATCAAATTCCTTTTTTCATACTTGCCCCACTCTTGGTGACAGAAAGAAAAACTTTTTTTGCCATTCCCCATGATTTTAAGACTTCATAAAGTTTGTGGACAATAGCTTCACCCGTGTACAGGTGGAGCAAGTGCACAATACTTAAAACTACATGCATCAAAAGCCCTTTTTTCTCGACCATCCATCGAGGCATACCGTCAACCTAAGACAACTGGCAGAAGTAGCTTTAAGTTTTTCCTTCCCATCTGAAAACTTGGCTTCATATAACTTTGGAAGCTTCTGCCCACCAGGCATATGAAATTTAGGATCTAAAGTTTTTATCACGTTTCGGAATGATTTCTTATCAATTAGAGTCATTGGAAATGATGTGCAAATAATCATGTCAATCAGAGCATTTATCCAGTTTAGATATTCTGAAGAATATTCCATCTGCTGAATGTCATGGGTGTGTCATACAGTCCAACAGTTTTTCACATTTAAGGTTTGACTGACCTTTGTCGCTGGATTTATCAGCAGCAATACAGAATTCATCGTAGATTTTTCGGTGTTTTTTTGTCCAAACATGTTTTTAAATTAGTGAGGTTCATTCCAGCTAAAAGTATTCCACAGCTCCCAACCAAACATTTACTTTTTTTCCACTTTGCAAATAGTCAAAATGTTGCCAAATAGGGCTTACTTTACTTTGCCCCACTCCCACAGTAGACGCAACACTTGCATTGGCCATGTTTCTCTGATGGTCACGCAGTGTACTGTGCTCGTATATCCTGTATTTACATAAAATAGATAGAGGAGATTTAGGAGACCATAGAAATATCAATACCAATACCACAAGAAACCTGGTAGGTTCCATTATCGAGTACTAGAGTAGGGTTACATAAGTCATGCAAAGTAATTAATTTTTATATTATCGCTGGGGCCTAATTTCCATGATTTGGTATTTACTGTTTTAAAGGAAACATACTCATTTTGTTGTCATTTTGAGATTTTTAATTTATGTTTGAGATTGTTTTGAATAAACCTTTAGTTTTATTGTTTGTTTGTTTGTACTTATGCACAAAGCTACACAATGGGCTATCTGTGCTCTGCCCACCATGGGTATCGAAATCCGGTTTCTAGTGTTGTAATTCCTCAGACATACTGCTGTGCCACTGGAGGGGCTTTAGTTTTAGTTTAAGTAATACCGTTCCATTTTCAAAAAATTTTCGTTTTAGTTTTTGTTAACAAAAATTCAATATGTTTAATTTTTATTTCATTTTCATTAATGAAAATATCACGGAACCCCACTAACACATCAGCACCAGAAGTCATTATTCTATCAAGATATTATACAGGTTTATTAACTCATATACTACAAGTTTATTCTGAGGCTTCTTGAATTTGTTTTCAAAAAACTATAAACAAACATATCTACCATTTTAAAAAACAGTTAGCTAAACAATTAAATAATTTAGTAAAGAGAAAATACAATAACAAAATATAAACTAGAGTACGATAAAAGAATATCAAAATGAAAAATTTGGATTTTATAAATTCTGCTAAAATATTTTGATTAATAAGAAACGTAAAAATTTTTTTTCACTTGAGATAATGCAAAATTACAGTAAAATATTTTAATTTATTTATTCAAAGTGAAAACAACACAACTGTATCTTTTTCAACTAAGGTATTTAAAAAAATCAAAATGGTACGAAATTTTTGCAAATAACCTAAAGCAATAAAAGTGAAAATATTTTATGAAAACTTAAACATATTAACATAAAATAATAGTTTTTGATGTTGGAAAATATTAGATTCCATTTAATTCAACCACTTACCATAGGATTTCAAATTCTGTCTTTGTACTTAAAGCTTCAGTGTTTCTTAAAGTACTTTTAGGCCTTTTTTTCTTTTCTTGTTTGTCTTCTGTGTTTTTATAACTTTTTTCGTTACTGTTACCAGATTTATTATTTGGGTCATATGTGGATGTGTTTTCACCACTAAAATATTAGGTATAAGTGAGAAATTGTAAGGATATTTAGCTCATGCTTTATTCAATATATTATAAACTCAACTTTTAAGTTTTCTAGAAAAATACAACTTTAAGCTTTACACATATAGAATGTATACAAAAATGGATACATCACAATTAAAATGCACTTATTATTCCAGCATGTCAGTTTATTTTTGAACATATTGTATCAATAACAGGTTTTATTTTTGCTTTTTTTTTATACTATAACATATTAACATTATTCTAAAGAAATCCAGATGAGTAATTTATGTCCAAAGCTTAAGACACATACACTGTTGTTTGTCTAATGATAATAACATGAATACCTTAGAATCATATTTTAAGCCAAAACTGAAAGTGTAAAAACATAATTAAACAATAACATAATCAGTGTAGAGAGACAATTATTTATAATGTTACAAAATAATTCTATCAAATAAATCCTAATTTCAGTTTAATCATGTAATTACATTACAATATCAGGTATTTTCAGAATGGGATGCTTCAATTAAGCTATAAATATAAAATATTAGATTAACAGCAGCATGCCATTTACTTAATTGCATCCAACTTGCAATCCCTTTAGTGATATTTAGCAATAATGGATGTGAAAAGAAAATATTTTCATTTGACTTTAACTAGCAATAAACTCTGCTTATTCAGTACTGTTTACTAGTATTTTTTATTGCCTCTTTATCAAACAGTTATATTAGCTGTCACAATATTTTAGTTAGCATACTACTGTCATTCACTGCTTAAAACAAAGACTAGCAATGATTTTATTACAGTGTCAAATGAATTCGACGACGAGGAACCCACTTTGAGACTAATAATGCTCAGAGACAGCTTGAATGGGTAATGAGAAAAAACTTTAATACAAGTTTAACATAACAGGAAATGTACAATGTTTCAATAAGGTTCTGTCATCATCAGTTTTTCTTCATTACCCATTCAAGCCATCACCAGGCATTATTTGCTACAGTGTATATGAAACAGACTCAAGTAATGTCACTATTATATAACACAATTTGAATTTGAATTATTACTTATTAAGATTATACATAGTGAACTGGTATATACTGTAGACCATCTATACATGAGCTGATGAAACTGGGTGTATTACTTTATTTGTTAAATATTTACATTAGCCATCACTAATTTGGAGGTGTTAGACTAGAGGGGAAGGCACGTAGTTAACACCACCTACTACCATCTTTTAGATTACTCTTTGCCAACAAATAGTGAGATTGACTATAACATTATAATGTCCCCATGACAGAAAGGTTGAGCATGTCTGGTGGTGGGTTTTAATCCCACAACCCTCAGACTGAGAGTTGAACACCCTAACCATCAGGCTATGCCAGGCCCAGGATGTATTATACCTTAACATTAAATCTGAATATATGATTCAAGTATAACAAAATCATCACACTGAACATGAACCTCAAGGTATCTTTAGAGCTGCGTAATGTACTAACCTTTTTCTATTTTGCAAATGGAATTCAGTTGCTTCATTGATATCTTCCTTTACTCTGATAGGCAGAGAAAGTGATGCAGTTGGCTTAGCAAAATCTGTTGGAAGAATTGCTGGAAGAGAGTAGCACCTCCTCCTGGTGGAAGAAGGAATAGAGGAGGATACTACTGAAAAGGTTAACTTTGTCATCAAACTGTTACTGTTTGTCGAGTCTACTTTACCACTGGAAGGGCCATTTGAAGGAAAGGAATGACTTCTGCTGTCCTGCAATTAAAGTTTTAAAATAATCTTAAATAAAATAATTTATAATACACCCAACAGAATTCATTTTTCAAAACTACCTAACATATACAAAAGAGGTCATCATGTTGGAAGTAAAATGGGATGTGACAACTATTTCAAGAACAACAATAGCTAGGTTTTTAAATAGTTAAACTGGACTGTAACAATGATTAAAAACACACATTATGTTTGGCAAAGCAAACAACATGACATAAATTATGCTTCTTATGCCGTTGAGACTTCCTGCTGTGCAAGTTCACAACTGACTGACAATCAGTGATAATAGATGATAGTCATGATTTAATTTATTCAAGTAGTTAAAAGAAATCCATCACTATACAAGGTCTACTTTGTTTATTTGCTTTGCTCTTCCAAGCAGCACTGATAAGCTGTGAATGTGGTGAAAACAGTCTGTTGCAGTGGGAATAGCAAATCAAAGAATAGTTCAGACCTCTTACAACATTATTTTCTTTGCTGAAATTTGAGTTTTGGTGAAGAAAAGAAATTAACATATAAAGGAATCATAGGATAATAGACAATAAAAAGTTTCTTTCTTTACAAGCTGTGATGTTAAGAAGGATTGCCTGAACTTAGTAAACCAAATGAAAAGTTTACACACAACATGCCAAACAAATGGACATTCTAATGATTTCTGCCCTTTACACAAAAAATATGTCATGAGTTTAATGGCTACATGGCCAAATGGTTCATGAAATTTATGCCAATGCTTTCAACACGAAATTAATTTACTAAACAAAAACTTCCAAAGTTCTAGATATCTAATTCTTCAAAAACATATGAATAGAGCTTGATCCAGAAATTTTTTTTATGCAAACTACAGAAGCAAAAGTATTAATAACATTAGCACTGAAAGCACATGATGACAAACTACTCTTCAGGAAATGGCAGTAGAAATCCACTAAGTTAGTAGCTTGGAAAAAGTTAAAAGACTCATGACTCTGTGGTATTCAAATATGTTTATCTTTACCAGAAATGTGTCAAGTATTCACAATACAGCAATCTTTACCAGAAATGTGTCAAGTATCCACAATACAGCAATCTTTACCAGAAATGTGTCAAGTATCCACAATGCAGCAATGTTTTCCAGAAATGTGTCAAGTATTCACAATACAGCAATGTCTACCAGAGATGTGTCAAGTATTCACAATACAGCAATGTTTACCAGAAAGTGTCAAGTATCCACAATACAGCAGGTCCCAGAAATGTTACGCAGGAAATAAAATAGACACATACATTGTTGGAAAAACAAGTAACTGAATAAAAGCATTATTTTTACACAAAACACATAGTGTATTACTGAATTATTTCACTTATGTCAGCCAGCTTATGTTTTAATATGGATTCTCTGGCTGATGAAACCGGAGAAAAACACATCTACACAAGACAAAAATATGAATCACAAGAACGATGATACTATGCTCTTAAGTAAAAAAATGTCATAGTGTAGTATTCTAATGTTTCTAGTTTACCTATGTCAATGATCATTCCCATTATATGTATTCAATGAAGATATATCCCTAAACCTTATGGACTGACTTGTATATGTCTCTGCACCACCTCTCAAAACGAATATGACCCCACTCCAAGGGTCATGACAGAGAAATAGAGCAAAGCAAGTATAAACTTTACAGAACAATTATCGTGGTATGTAGCCTTTGACTAGGCTAGAGGATTAGTTCAAGTTTATGATCTTTTCTTTAAATTGAATTAACTAGAGGAAGAAAACAGATATTTAATTCCTGAAAAAATCTACAATACAATGCATTTTAGATTCAAGGTCCTTGTGACTTACTGAGAATATGACAATAATGGGTTTAATAATTAACCCTTTAACTGTGGTCCACTGGGAAATATATGTTCCATATGCAGTGAAAGGGTTAATGTTTTCAAATCTATAATAAAAATGGAATATTTTCATGCCACTTATTTGTACTATTTTTTATTCACTCACCTCATCTGCTACCAAGCAACTTCCTTGTTTGCTAGCATGTAAAATACAGATAATTTCATAACAAACTTGAAGACACCAATTTAATTCAAGAATTCTAGCAGTATTTTTTTTTCATATCTCCAAAATTTCACATACACCAGAGAAACTTGTACTTGATGACACAGGTAAAATATACGAGGTAAGTACAGAACTTTTGGTCCATCAGACATTGACCAACTTGTAATTTAGATGCCTTAATTATTCATATACTATTAATCAGAAGAAAAATTTCAACTAATGTGTACAATGTATCTAGCAAATTGTTTTATTTCGACAAAATAGGAAGTAAATATTGGAAACTCAATTTTTGCTTACTGTGTTTTAGAAAATTACTGAATATTAGAATAATTACTGTATGAATTCTATGAAAATTATACTTATGATATTTCCAACACAAGTGAAAACTATTATACAACAGTTACCATTTCAATATTTTAAGAAATTATAACTGTAATTGCATATTTATATAATTAAGCTATCATGTCACTATATAGTACACTAAACCAATTTAATCCTGTCACAAATTCCAATTTATCTGTAAACCAACTTACAAATTAAATTTCAAACAAATATAGCATTGCTTCTATCTCCAGAATACAACTTTTATCATAACTCAATATTCTACCTTGTGGCTTCTTAGGGAGTTTAATCCTCAAAATATTACTTGTAGGATAAAACTCCTGAAGAAACCACGTTAAATTTATTTTATAAAACGTGTCTAATAGTAAACTTCAGTTAGTTAAAAAAAATTAAGAACATAAATTCCAAACACTTGGAAGTTTTTATAAACACAAGAAAAATATATCATCACTTAAATTAATGATGCACCTAGAAGCTCATCAGTTATTTTGAAATATTGTTTCATGAAGAACATAAATGCTTCCTTACCTGAACAATGCTGAAACTGGAAAGTACAGGATTTGGGTACGGTTCAATAGAAGATGCTCTGCAAAACATTTCTATGCTGGCTCTCCTGTAAACCTAATCCAAGAATGAAAAAGTATACAAGTGCAAATTATTTTTCTAAACATTCATGTTAATTAATTTAACCCTTTATATAGAAGGGGAGTGTTATTGACATCCACTGATTTTCTTTCCTTCTCAAAGTAGGAATACTTAACCAAATTGCAGGAAACTTAGTAAAAATTTATTAAACAATATCTAGTTTTTGCTTTAGAATAAATCATATATATTTTATTTTTTGTAACATTTTTTTTACATTGTGAAGTTTCTAAACTTCTGTTGAATATGATAAACAATAACGTTTAACAAATATAGACTTGAGTCATTAGAATATTTTTCTATCTTCTAAAGTACTCTCTAAACCTAACTAGGCTTATGTCACGGAAGAAAATTTCCATAGCTTTCAAACAAACATAATTTAACACAAAAATAATTTCAATAAACAAAAAGATTATCTAGAGAATTTATAACAAATTCTTAAATCTCTGGTTTGTTCCACTTAATTCCATGTTCTTCTCTGCAAGAGCTACAACTAATCACTTTCCAATAAAACAATAAATTATTTATAATGCCCCTCTATTCACTCAATATTGATGTAAATACTTTATAATTTGCTCTATTCAATGGTGTTAAAACTTTTCCTGTAGCTGAGCTTCATTAGTAGTTGTTCACATCACATGCTGTAAAGTCATAAAATGGTATGAATGAAAGGTTGTACTAATAAAATCAGAAAAAGAGAACGAAATTAGGTGAGAAACAAAACCTTAGTAATTATATTTTCAAGAGATGATAGTTTCTTAAACCTAAAAAAATTGATAAGAGCATTTGTTTACAGGCAAGTCTCCTTGAAGCTGTGCATTAATGTAAGTTAATTGTAATTTTTTCCCCATCTTTTTTGCAGATTACACTAAATATATGTCAAAAAAATTATAAAATTACAAAATAGAAGTAGAATTATTATAGTTATTTAAATTTTTAAATTTTACATGCAGGCATGCACTTGACATCTATGCATCTATATATAAATCACGAGACTGGCTTATCTTTACTGGAACTTACCAGAATTTACTTTAGATTGGCTAAGATTTTAATTCATTCACTTACTTACTTACAGAAATAATCTTAAAATGATTTGTCAGGAAATGGAAAAGTTGTAACAATAAATGCGATATTAGACGTTTCAAAATTTTTTGTTAATGGTGGAGGGTAATAACCAAAATAAATACATAATAAAATATTATTTTATTATAAAACATCTCATGTTAAACAGTAAAAACTGAAAATAAATATTATTAGAAAAGTATGTAAAAATTACAGTTAGCAAAAAACTTGTAAAAAAAAGGTTATAGACTTTAGTGCTCACCTTTTTAATAGCTTGTAAATGGACAAAATGTGATGATAAGTCAGATACCTGTAAAAATCCAAGTATAATACTTAGAACATCACAACTTTTCTAACTGACTAATGTGATCTTATTTTAATACACAATGTTTCTGAATACAATGTGTAAATTACCATATGAAGTATTTATATCTTATAATTGATGAAAAACATTTATTTGATTATTACTACACAACTATGTTCTAAATATGTGACTTTACTAATAAATGTTTTTATAGTTCAAATTATATGTCTAATTCTGAAAACATAAACAATTAAAGTCAAATAAAAGAGATAAGAGAAATGTCTCTTATCATTATAACTTTTTTTGGAAAAACGATTCACTACTGAAAATGTACTCCTTCGTTAAACAGAGTGAAACTTTTAAGTAAATATAAATTATTAAAACATCATGACATATAAACTGAAAACAATCATTAATAACAAAAAAGGAAAACCAATTGTATTTTAACACAAGTATTATTAAATGTATTAACAAATCTATTATGCTGGCTCCTTATAAAAATGCATGCAAAATATGTTTTACAGATTCTATGTATACAAAACATATAGCACTTTATCATTAACTTAATAATTCACATAAAATACATAAAACATTTTTTTTTTCATTTCCATGAATACTAATACATTTTGTGTGTAAAAACATTTTAGTAATCCACATAAATTTTAAAAAACACCAAGATGCTGAAAAGTGTGCATGATTAATGTAATATTTTGAACAACAGGCTTAACAAAATCACTTAATGGTATAGCACTATTGATAAACTTACAAAACTTGGTAAATTTGCAATCGATAAATAGCAAAATGATTGCTGGTCTCTACCATCTTCCAAAGCTGACACACTATTAGTAGGAACAACATGACTTTTTGTTACCAACTTTCGGGTCACTTTTAGCTCATGGGGTTCTTTCTGATAAATGTGTTTCATGTTTTCTACGTACATAACCATAACTTCAAATGCACGATTCATTCTATCTTCCTGCATTATTATATGGAAAAAAAATAAAGATAATTTTTTTATAAATAGGATACAATCATAAAACTGAAAAGAATACACATTCACTAATAACTAAGTTATTACATGTACATATATCATCTAGAATGCACGTACATGCAAACTGACTGCTTAAATGGCGTTATCTATGATAAAAAAAAATGCACAAGTAAAAGTTTCAAACAGAATACCTTATTATTCATACCTTCCAAATCAAAATCTGATTTCTTTTATGCATTAGTATTCACTAGTATTTATGCAGAAGTATATTCTAATGACAAACCAAATGTATATTAGCTAGATAAGCAATTAGGTTTTGTAATTACAGAAATTTTATGCTTTAAACATGAGTTTAACATTACACAACATACCAAAATGATGATACTTACAGTTTCTAAATTGTTTAAAGAAAAAAGGTCAGTCAAAAATAGATCGAATTTTTTGAAATAATTTCTTGTAAAAATACGTTCATATCACAATTACGTTGTCTACTTTTATTTAGAGTGGATAAAACCTATAAGAAATAATTTTCAATTAGGTACTCAAAAGAAATTACCAACATCATTATGTGAATTATAATTATTGTTTAAAGAGGATTTAAACAGTGACTTTACATGTGGAGTATTTTTGGTAGATTGCAACTGCTTGATGTATTCACATGAGACAACAACATTAAGTCTTTATTCTAATACTTTCATTTAGTTAATTGCAGCAGCACTCAGTAAACAATGCTTCTGAATATGTGATTAAAACTACTGAGTTCTATATGTAGTACAGTACAGTATTTGTAATTATGTTATAAGAATACATTCTTTGGCATATGATAAAAAAACTCAACAAGACTATGACTCCACAGTCAATATTAATTGAGTGTGGAGACCAAAGTTCATACAAGTTATTTTTAGGATTACTTTAAGTTATGAATTTAAAACAGTATATTTAGGTATGTTTCAAAATTGTTTTAAATCTTGATCCAAACACCGTTTTATCTATAACATTTTACTTACTGTACTATAGTTGCAAAGGCTGATATAAATACTTAATTTTTTTTTCAAATTGAGTTACAAAACACAAATAAGTTAGATTTAACTGTCTCAGAAAGTCATCATTTGGTCTTGATTACTGATTTCTGTCTGTGAAAGATATTTCCAAAGCTGAACTGGGTGTAAAAAGTTGTGGAATGAAAGGTGAACTACAAACATAACTAGAAAAGTAAATGCACTAAAATAAATAATTAAAATGCAATGTGTTACTGAAAACAATTAAGATATTTAACATAAGTGTCAACTAGCTGCCTCCAATTAAAAACACTCTACATGTTTTGACATGTTTGAAAGTGACACAGACACATCGAAACACATAGTGTTTTTATGTCGAGGCCATTGACAATTTCAATAAATGTCTTTTAATAATCTACAGTAAAATATTGTAGTTTACTTATTTATTTGATTTCAAAATTATACAAATGTCAATCATTCATACTGAGTAAATGTAATGTTTTAATTACTTAACTTTTCATAGATATAATTGTAACTAATAAATTACAACCATTTAGATATAAAAAATATTGACTGGAAAAATAAGGTGAATGGGTTCGAAAAAGGAGACAGTACCTGTTGAACAGCACCATAAACCTCAGCTCGACTAGATACTCTGGAGAAAGACTGCTGTAAAATATCTATTTGCTGATACATGCTTACAATAAGCTCTCGAACTTGATGGTCTGTACTTAGGCGATTCAGAGTCTTGAAAAACAAGCAATGTAAAACAAATACCTAATTAGTGTAGAGTTAGTGGAACAACTGAATATCATCGTTTTGACAAGAATTGGTGAAAGATATAACTAAAAATTATATAAAAACTATATAACTATGTTTAAAATTTAATACACCAAGAGAGCATATCAAAGGCTGAACAATGCAGCAAGTTCTAAAAAGGACTAGAAATATTGGTAGAAATTATGCATGTATAATTAGTTAATGAAAATAAGACTTTATAGCAAATAGTTTTCTACCTCCTTATTCTAATACAGTATTATTCAAAATTTATCAAACTTTTCTTTGTATGTGCAGTTATCACATAAAATGTGGTCAAGGAAGTCATTAAGTTGTTTTTGTTCTAGCTGCCTTTGTTTGTATTATTCTCTTTAGGTAACACTTGTTCTGTCCATGGGTAGTGGGCTGTAATGCTGCACATTCTGCAAGCTAGGATGTTGAAAGTAGAGTCCTCCAATGGTAGGTCAGGTGATTCCTCAAGGTTATGACCTTCCTTAAGTTTGAATGAGAATAACCAGCAAGTGGGTAGTACTAGTCAGTCTGGGAAAGTCTGATGTTACCTTTGAAATAGTTTACATAAGGTTTAAACAGTGTTGTAGATCATCTCGGCCAAGTTAGTCAAACAGAAGTTATCTCTGGTCCAATAAAAATGACCACCCATTGTCAAATAAGTGGATATACACTGTGTTTGTGGTAATGTGAATAATAAAGACTGTTTGCTTGTGTTCAGTTTCTATATTTCATTCTCACAAACTCAGTTATTCAGGGAACTTAGAATTGCTCTGTGATAAATATCTTGATGAATCTCCTGTTATTCAGAGGACTCACCTGTCACTGTAGATAAAATCAGTTTCACCTGAAAATAACACAACTTATTATATATAATGTTATATTACAAACTAACTGGAATTAGTAATATGCTACCATGTTGACTGCATAGGAAGTTACCTGAATTACTGTGAACAGTCATGGTTGTGATGTGTATTATTACAAAAACAACAACCTAACCAGCATGCTGTGGCATACAGGTTAGGTTGTTGTTTCTTCACAGAAGAGGGGGTAAAAGGTTGTTGACAAACTCTTTTAAAAAAATTATGTTGAAGTGGGACAACACACAACATGGCCAATAACAGAAAAATCATAATTAAAAATATGATTTGAAAAATACAAGGAGGAACATTTATTAGTAAGATAATGAAATACAGTGCACCAATTAAGAAATATTTATATTGTGCAAGCACAATATCTACAACTAACTAACCAGTGTTAGATTTTTCACTTTAAGTGAGATGCATTCACATAGCAATAAGATACATAAAGTATTCAAACAGAGCTTTTCCTTAGGACTTTTTACAACTGCACAAATATATTTTAACTTCATCATTTTTTAATACATGATGCCTTATTGCACCTCATATATACAGGCCTAATAAAAATGATCCAAAAAAATGAAGAATATTCTAGTAAAAACATTTATTTATCAACTCGGGAAGGGAATTTTATAATCTTAAATATGTTTTTTAAATATTGATCCACTTGAACTTACTTATATAGGCGAATTTTCTGCACAAATATTTTTACAGTGCACAATTCGTGATCAACTGCACATTAAGAAACTCCTGTATTCAAAGACCTATCTAACATAAAAGTATAACCATTAATAGATTGACTATAAATTTTAAACTAGCCTTTATGATGTTATCTAAGATAACCTAACACTGTGTTCAAACCAAAAATATCTTCAATAACAGTTGCTTTAAGTATGAAGAAATCTTTATGTTAATGTCAAATTGTATCAGCAGTTTAAGAAAAGTAACATTAAGTTTCGTTAAACATAAGTTTTTCTAACATTTGTCTTATATTTTTACATGAATAACACATCAAGATTTTATTACTATTCTAAATGCAATTGTCTGGGAAGGGGCCAGCATACTATTTGAGATGTGCGTTGTTGCTGTAATGTCCATTGTGATATGGAGGCAATGCATTATGAATGCTGGAAAAGCATATTTTGAACAGCTACTGTGAATGATCAGATATTAGGTCCTGGTGGTACCCCTGGTAGCAACATGTGACAACTGCAGAGTTTGTATCCAGATGATACCCTTAAAATTCGTATGCAATTTCACCTTCCTATATTATAGTGTTTATAAGATTTGATGAGCTAAACAGTGAAACTTTTTTATAATCATCCTGTGTCTTATGTTTAAAATACTGTCTAAATTCAAAATTTGAAAACAGCATTGATGATTGAACTTGAATACTTTGAAATGAAATGGGTATCTATAACTGTTCATTTACTATTACTTGGATTAAGATGATTGAAATACCAAATCTTTACCATTCTACGTATCTCTTACCAGTTAGGTTTTCTTTTTGGTATTGTTTAATTTTTTTCCCTTTAGATGTTTTGTTAGTTATTTATATTTTCAACCTGAATGACATCGTATACATCAAAAACACAAAGGTTCCTAAGTATCCAACCACAATCTATAACTGCTGACTAAATGAAGAGCAACCAATCAGCAGTGCCCATCACCTAAGCAGCTACTCTTAATCAATGGCATAGTGCTAAATTTTATAGCAAAGGGGCCCTGCCAAAATTTTTCAGATGTCACCACCATAAGGTAAGGATCTCATATTCAAAATCTAATTTACATTTTTCTAAGTCTATTTTATATACAAAAAAAAAATACATGCAGCACTAATTATTTGAGACTGCTTTAGTACAAAATGAAATATGCAACTGAACTTTCTGAGTACCATATAAAAATCATTAACATTAAAGCAAGTTGTAAAAAAATGCATATAGTTTTAGTTTTCGAAGTGTCAGGATTCAGTTTCCATTTCAGTTAAGTCATGCAATTTGAGCAAGCAAATGTAAGAAAAACTTTAAAATAAGATCAATTACTAATAACTGTGGAATATAAAGAAATTGTAAAAAGAAAAATCTTACAGACTTGTTATTCATAACTGAATTCTATTAAAGTTTTCCCTAAACCCAATATATAATTGAGTCTAGTATACTTAGTAATATAGAACCATAACTAAACAAAGCTAAAAATACAAACAAATCAGACTCATCCTAATGTTAGAAAAAGATATTGAAATACAAACAGGCTTCTGAAACACATTTTAACTATAGTAGAGACATACTAAAGAAATCAGAAACTTACGTATAAGGTGTGTGCATTGAAATTTAATTTTAATTAAATCAAGCATTACTTCATTTTAAAGATGTTCTGTAAATAATAATAAGAATAAAAAAAGGCAAAACTTACATTTAAAGATATCTTCAAAGCATGGATTGCATTTTCAACATTTTTCTCTGCAATATTCCTCTGCCGTTGTTGAAGCTGGAGTCTTTTGCTTAAAGTCAACTTGTCTATTTTAAATGCTAACAACAAACTTCCACATTTACTCTGAAAAATGCAGTTTCATAACCTTTACCTTCGAATTTAGAAAATATGAATAAAAAACCCTTTAATATGACATGATATACAACACACTTTCAAACTATTATCTTTTGTTAACATTATAGTTTTAAAAAAGTTTACATAAGTGGCATGTAATTGCCACTTGCATTTTCATTCTCTCAAATAAAGCCTATAACCTTTTGAGGTAATCATTGACTAATTTTACCATTTCCATGAGCAAACAAACTGTATGCTGGAGGATAGGAGCATGTGTATGCTTTTCTATATAATATCATGTGCTATCAATAAATAACTTACAAAAGTACTGACCACCAGCAATTTGAACAAATTTTGTGAACTTTTGTTTGTTTGTTGAATTTTGTACAAGGCTATTCAAGAACTATACAAGTTAATTCTCTCTAATTTAGAAGTAAAAGACTAGTGAGAATGCAGCTAGTCAACATTATACACTTCTAACTTAGTTATCAATGAAAAGTGAGATGGACCGTCACATTATAATGCCCCTAAGGGTGAAAGAGAGAGCATGTTTGGTGAAGAGATATGAACTTGTGACATTCTGATTTAGAGACAAGTGCCCTAACAACCACGTCATGCCAGACCTATTTGTGAACTAAAAGACCTCTTTTCTGTTTTCCTTTACCCTATTTATAATGCCTAATGTCCAATACTATCTCTTTAAAAAACTTCACTATTTTATGTGTATGCTTTCAGAGCAGGGGTGGGATAAAAAAAAGTATATGTTTGTGAAAATGGTCAAAATTGTGAATGACACTGTGTATACATTGTTATTGAATGCCTCATGACTACACTAAAAATAAACAAACATTTTTTTTATTTTTCTATCACTAAGCATTAATTACTGCTGTTTTGTAAAATGAAAGGAAACCATAAAAATAAATAAATAAAACAATCTTTGGATACTTTACCAAAGTATGTTGTTTGATGTAAAAGTACACAATGTTATCAACAGATAATTATTCCTAATTTTTAACTAACAGATAAGAAAGAAGGCAGGTAGTCAACAGCAACCAACATTACCTTTCAGGCTAGTCTTGTCAGACTAAATAGTGAGATTTAAACATCACATATAGCATGCCCATAGTCCAAGGTGCAGAATGTGTTTTTGCAGTAATGAGTCACAAACTATTAATCTATGGATTCACAGCCCAAGCATGCTAACCGCTAAAGCCACACTTGGGTGCATCAAAATTAAGGGAAAAGTCTGTTTGTAGCATTACTGATAACTTTTAAAATTACCACAAAATTTTAGTTACTAAAACTAAATAAAAAACATATATTTGTAAAATGTCTTAAAATTGGCTCATACAGTGGATTTTGTTGATGAATTCTGGTTATGATAAACTTTGTTAATAATTACATAGTTATGCACCTGAGTAATTACTAGACATTTTATTACTTTATACATAATTTATCAAGTAACATTTATACCAACTGAAGTTTTACAATTACTAATGTATAGCTTAATAATAAACACATATACGGACTAAATACAATTTTTCTGACAGAATTTAATGAAGAATTTATATAATAATAAATAAATAAATAAACATATTTAAATCTTTGCAATGAATGAATACATAGTTTGATAGCTACTGATACTGACAACGACAACCAACACAAGTTGGCAAAACAAGACAGTACTTTTTCAAGTATACTATGATTTTGACAATATCTGTTTGTATAAAGAAAAACTATATTTTACAAATACTACACTGATAAAGGCAGATGTTAAATCCTCTTACCTCAACTTCTTGTTCACTGAGATGTTCATTTCTGAAGATAATACAACACATTAATATAACAGAAGTTAATTTCACTCCATATAATTAATTTCTTGCTACACTTAAAATTTTCTAGTCCAATACCACAATTTCACAAATAAATCAGCTAAGAGAATATTTAACAGTGATTTCACATAATCAATTCCTCTATCAAATGAGGTACCCAATCTTTCCACAGTTTCATCTACAGGCAGTAGTATTATTTCTGATTAAGTAAGTTCAATGATACAATGAGCAATGTAGAACTACATGGCTATTTTTCACAGCCACATGTTGCTAATCTTGCAGCCATATATATTTGAAAATCAGTATACTTACAATGAAAATACCAAAGAAATATTATTTTCAATTACTGAAAAATGTACAATAATGAACATCCTTGCTAAAGTTAAACCACTTTGCTAATCAAAATGCATTTAAGACTTGACTACATAAATATTTCCTAAAAGTGTAGTTACATGAAATTTCAGTTTAACTGAATAATTATTTTTACTTGACAGCTCTGTAATTTAGTAAATCTGATTACCATACATTTTTTTATAATAATAATATATATAAAAATAATTTATCTTTAGTTGAACTAAAATATCATCCAAGGCTTCTTTTCAGCCAAATACACTATAAAATAGTGTACAGAGTATGTGCAGTAAATGTATGTTATACTACTTCATTGCTGACTAAGTTGGCAGAAAATGTTTGTGATATATACTTATTCTAAGAGAACTAAAATATTTTATGCACCATGTTTACCAAGTTATCAATGATCAGCATGCAGTTTCAGATTGCATATTTCTTTTTTTACTAAGCAAAGTAGAGAAAAGGTAAACTATCAAAAGAAAAATACACAGTTTTAACCAGCTAGGAGGCTAAGTACCTTCCCAAAAGTTAATTATCACATGTAAGCATAATAGTTATTGATAAGTTATTTACATCAGAAATGCATAATAGTTTTGAACACCATTTCATTTATGTAACTGAATTGATTGGTTGGTTGGTTGGTGTTTTATGGCGCAAAGCAGCTAGGCTATCTGCGCCAAACAACCGGTAAAAGCAATGAAAGTAGATTAGAGTTAAAATCAAAACATGTCGGTAAAAGATTTATATAGAATAAAAATACCA